CCCGTGGGTGTGTGGGGGCAGACCAGCCGGTGTGGCTTGAAGCGTGAAGGTGGATGGCACTGGCAGAGCCAGCTGACGTGTCCGAGGTGGCTGTGGCAAAGGGAGAAGTCATGAACTTCTCTGTAATACTGCCCCTTGCTTTTCAAGGCAGTAGTTCCCCTTGTTTCGACAGTAAAGCCCCGGCTCTAACACATAAGATGCAGTTATCGCTACTGAGGCTGCAGTAGTCATTGCACTACAGACGTGTCCCAGCCTTGCTGAGCGCTGTGCCTGGCTCGGTCTGGCGGGAGGGAGCAGGGTGAGGGCACGGGGGGGGCTGTAGCTCAGCCCCTGGGCTGGTTCCCCACCAGGAACCAGCCCTGTCGCCTTCCAGGTGGGAGATTCCCAAAGTGAGGGAACGATGGTGGCGACTTGTGCGGGGACCTGAACGTGGCTTTTGTACTTCAAAATTCCCCTCCGAGGGCTGATAAACCACTGCAGGTCCCAGCTACTCGCTTCTCTAGCTGCTGCGGCCCAACGCTCTCCTGAGCAGGGGCAGCGCCGCAGCTCTCCTGCCCTTGGTTCCTCTGTGCTTCTCTGCCCCCGCTTTTCGGCTGCCAACAGCTCGGCCGTGGGGCGGGAGGTACTGCAGGGCTGCACCTGGAGCCGCCCAGCCCAGGCCTGAGCAGCCTCCCTGGGGACCCTCGGGGTCTCTTGCGGGGTGCTGGGATGCTTTTGGTCCTCCCTGTTCCTGCTGCCAGCGGGGTCTTGCTTTGTCCACAGGTTGGTTGTCAGCAGCAGGCTCCAGAGCTGCTTTCGAGGGCTGTTTCAGTTCCACCCCGTGGTGGGTACAACTAGGGGAGTTTTTGCAATAAAGGGGTGCCTGTGACTCTTGGGAGCAGGCACTGAGCCTTGGGGGTGAGAGCTCAGGGGTGGGAGGGACCTGAGGCTTCTCCGTGGGGAAAAGCCAATGCGAAGCACCACAGCAGAGCTGGTGACCAGCTTTCCTCTTCCCTGAAAGCTGGGAGTGAAGAGATGCCCTTAGGAGTGCAGACAGGATGGGCAAGGCCCTTTACTGTGCTTAACTTAAAGGTTGTATTGAAAAGTAAAGAAAGCCTCAGGAACGAAAGAAAGAAGAAAATACGATTTTTAAGATGGGGGATAGAGGGGCTGGTGCCTGCCCTGCAGCCCCCTGCGCAGCATGAGGCCTGCTCTGCTCTGTACCCGCCTCCTTTCAGAGCAGCTGGGCAGCAAGAGCTTGGCCTGGGCCAGTGCAGGCCATCCAGCCCCCACCCCTGCCCTCTCCGTGTCACGGAGGGCCCCGAGTGCAGGCTGTTGTCACCAGGGCACTTTCCCTGTCAGCCTTGCAGCACGGAGATTCTGAGGGCAGGTGAATTGGCTGGAAAGGCCTTTTCAGGGCCCAGAACTGGGCAGTGGAGATACCACTAATGCAAATACCTCTCTGAAATAAAACTCCCTGTTCCCCCTCACAGCTCCTGGGCTGGTTTTAAAGCATTTGAGCAAACAGTTGTCACCGGAGACCTTCAGGTTGATCGATGCTGAAGTTTATTATGTTATACACATTAATGTGTGCAGCGAGCAGGTGGCACAGAGCAGATCCTGCCTCTCGGGAGCAAAGTGACTCTGGTGCCCAGCAGCACGTCTCTGTGCCCCCTCTAGCACGTTAGCGACCTCCCTCTGCCGCGGGGAAGAGAGAACTGGTCACACGCTTGCTGGGACTGGGACCAGCAAACAGGCCCGACCAGCCCCTGAGTAAAACCCTCCTGGGGGTAGGAGGTACGGAGGCAGCAGCGTGAGGGTAACTGCGAGAGGAGAAAGGGGAGCAGAGCTTCACCTCGTACCGGCCACTCGCTGTCCTTGGTGTTGGCGCTCAGGAGCTGCAGGGCTGCAGATCCCCCCCCGGGGCACTCACGCAGCAGCGCTTCCCGCTGAACCAGCTGGATCCTGCAGCGCTGGGTAAGCCCTGCGTCGTGCCCCTCTGCCCTGGTGTGCTGCAGCAGCCCCTTCTGCTAACCACCCAAACCACGACCCCCCACCCTCGGTCCTGTCCTTTGGGGTAAATCTAATGCCTGACCCATCCCCCCCCCAGCTGCTGCCTGGGCCCAGCCCTTTAGAGCAGAAGATGCCAGTAATGGAAGAAAAAGCGTAATTCCCTCTTGGTTATGTTCTGTGGAGGCCACAACACAACCCTTGAGACAGCGACTTGAAAAGCAGGGGCGCAGGGGAGAAGCCAACGGCTGAGACTGGGGAAAAGAATCATTAAACCAAGTGAATTGTCCGAGGAAAAAACGCAAACAAAGTCTTTGTCCTTTAATGGGTCGCTACTGCTGTTCTGCAGCCAACCAAATGAGCCCAGGTAATTAAAATCCAAGGAACAGATGGATTTTTTTTTTAAAATAACAGCTTTAAAAAAAAAATCAGTAGGTTTATTGTAGGTCTCAAGAGGGGCACAGTATGAAGAAGTGGAATGCCTACGTGTTGTCTATACAGAATAACCCATCACTTGAATTAAAAAGCAGCAGCTAAGCAGTCGCATTTCATTCATCATGATGTTTTCTTCTGTTTTTTCTTTTCATTTTCTTCCTTTTCTTTTTCAATTTCAGCAACATACTTCTCAATTTCTTCAGGGTTTAGGATCTAAAACAGAAACACAGGCGACCCTCAGGATACCCATATGACTTAGAGGCTTTTAGTTCTGAGAGGGAAAGAACGTGAACGGGGATTTACCCAGACACGAGCACCTTGTGCAGACACAACAACATTCCTGGGCTGCTAATAACAAACGGGAGCGTTTGCCCGGGCAGAATGTGAGACGAGGGGCTGGAAGCTCATGCAGATCAGCAGCAGCAACCGGCTCCGAAGGGAGAAAAGCCAAACAGAGGCCTTACCTTCAGCGGCTGCTCTCGCCTCATCACCGCCAGCTCGATGTTCTTCCCACCAGACTGCACCACCTTAACGGGAGCGAGATGCAGGCGTTAGGACCGTGCCTGCCAATTCCTTCCAACAAACCCCTTCCCGGTCCTCTTGGAACGGGAACAGATATGGACCGGGAGCATTTTGCTCATCAGCTCTAAGCTCCTGACTCCAGCAGCAGTGTAGTGCTCAAAAAATAAGGGTCTTCATCCGCCACCAAGGCCCTCAGGGGCTGCTGAAGAACAGCTCATTTCCACCACCTGACTTTTGGAATTTTCTACACTTAAACTTCAATACAGAAGTAAAATGTTCCACATGTGATTTAGCACGTCTCTGGTGCGTTTCTTTTAACGTCCAGACCTGAAGTCTGTTTCCCTCCCCAGAGACCTGCTGGTCAGTTCTTTGGTGCGAGCTACCGGAACTGCCACCCGAAATATTCCGAACCTTGAACTGAACCCCACACCCAGGGCCCACGCTGGAGCGTTTCCACAGATTATGGTCCTTTCCCGTGACACGCACCGAGACTTCCCCGCACGCCCGTTTAAGAAGTCAATCCAGACACAGTGAAAAGTCACCCCCGGGAGCCGAAACAGACGCACCTCTAGAAGAGCCTTGATGACGAGTTTAATGGTGAGATCATCTGTTTCAATGGCTTCATCAGTGTAGTTCTTCTCCAGGAATTCACGCACAGATTTGGCTCCTCTGCCAATGGCATTAGCCTGGAAACAGCGAAGGAACACGAGGAAGTCCAGAGAAGACTTCATTTACAGAATAAGCAAGAAATGCAAGTTGTACAATTAGATAATCCGAAACCATTGCGTGATCACCGTGTACTTTTCAGGAGACTGAACATGTTACTGCCCCGATGTCACACCCGAAGACGGTTGTGGGCACGGGCGGGTTTTTTGGAACACAGGACCAGACTTCCCAAGCAAAGCTGAACTGCAGACTGCCATGCTCCGTAAATCTGATCATTAAGGCTTTCTGCAGCCGCGAGCCAGCACCACCTGCCCAGCGAGATCTCCCTTCTCCACCAGTCTCTCTGTAAAGGGGACGTTAAGGCACCAACATTTCACTGCTCCTCCCCAGGAGACAGAACCAACTCACCTTCCAAGCGTGGTAGGTACCAGAGGGGTCGGTCTGGTACAGCCGGGGGGTCCCATCGAAGTCAAACCCCACGATAAGAGCAGAGATCCCGAAAGGCCTGCGCCCGTTGCTCTGCGTGTACCGCTGGTCAGAAAGAGGAGAAAGAGGCTTCAGAAGCCGCCCTGGGAACGCCGGCAGAGCGCAAAGCAGACGCTGGAGAAGTTACGGACAGGAGAGGCACCAGAAGGATTTCTGGCGGCTCTTACCAACCTGCCCGTCCAAGTCAGGATTCCGCGGCTCAGGGACCCCAAAGAGGCGGTCACTGCCCAGCCCCCGGCCCCAGCACCCGCTGGAGGCCGCC